TAGCAGGTACAACCTGAAGTGCATAAGCATCAATGTGGAGAACATCTGCAATAGCACCTGTATATTCAGTGGCTGACTATTGTGCACCAACATGGAGCAGATGCATTCACATGTGATTTGTGGATACAAGGTATTACAGGAACCCTTACAATGACTCCAACACTAGGACTACCTGTCCTGTCTAACATTGCTCCCCTGACGATATGCTGAACTGCCACAACATTCTGTGAAGCCACGGAAATAGATGTCTTCCTAACCACTAAGACCTTGACAATGCCCCAGTCTCATACAATCGGGCTATGATAAGAAAGAGGCTTGGGAAGTAGATTGGACTAAACAAGACTTAAAAAAGTAAGGACCTTGTCCAGAATCCCATGCAGAAGGTTCCTGGATTTGATGACCTTCCACAGGCATCTCGCTTAATTTGACCAAATTTGAATCAATCATGACATCTAATGCACAAATGGAAAATCAAGGACTTCCCATTGGCTGTGTCTACATTGGAATCCCTTTTTGGAAAAGGGATGCTAATGAGACACTTCGGAATTGCAAATTCCGCGGGGGATTTAAATATCCCCCGCGGCATTTGCATTTACATGGCTGCCGCTTTTTTCCGGCTTGGGGTTATTCAAGTAGTACTTGAAAGTAGGAATAAGGGATCTTCCGGAAAAGGGTTTATTTTCTGGAAAATCGCGTCTAGACTGGCGTTTTTCTCCGGCATAACCCCGAGCCGGAAAAAAGCAGCAGCCATGTAAATGCAAATGCCACGGGGGATATTTAAATCCCCCGCGGAATTTGCAATTCCGAAGTGTCTCATTAGCATCCCTTTTCCGGAAAGGGGTGCCAATGTAGACACAGCCATTGTGTGAGTGTGGTTCCCTATGACAGACCATTTAACATAACATTGCCTACTGCAATAAATTCTGCTACTCCTGATATAGCTATTTGGCTTGATCATCTTCCTATGAAATTCTAGTTGCTGCTCTACACCAGCCATATGAAAGAAGAATTGAGTATGAAAGTGGATGTTTCAAAAGTTATTCAGAGTCTTTGGTGTTGTGGAATGGACAGTAATTAATCTGTTGGTTTTATTGCAAACAAACGATTCCCATGACTCACTTGCTACTTAAAATAATTATTTTAATCATGTAACATTTTCATTGAATCCCCATGGCAAAGGGAATTTTAGTGTTAACTTAAAACAAAACAGTGTATTCGTAATTATAAATGAGGGAGGAAATGAAGACGTTTCCTATTGAATCACATCCTGCAAGAGAGGCTACATTATCACAGCTGTAAGTAACACTGGTTCATGCTTAAGTCCAAGCACAGAGACATGTTAAAACAGGTGGGGAAGACTTTCATTGATATTGCATGGCACAGTGTTGCATTAAATGACTTTTTAAAGCTTCTTTGGTAAAAATGTATGTACTACTTTTCAACTTTCCAAAAGAAATTCATGAATTGAGAGAGATTCCTGACAGATTAATAATAATAAGTTAATTTCCATGCCATCTGCTAATCAATTTTCTGAGCAGTACTTTACTTTAACAGAAGGCTTGCTATCTGCCAACAGAAAACAATGATATTCATCTAAACTGTTTTAGAAGACTGTATTTTAATATATTTTTATTGCCACATCAGCATGGACTTGTTGCACAATCTGTGGCTGGCTTTTTAATTCTTTAAGAATAGTGATAAAATTTGTCACCAGAAACAGGTACAAGGAACAGCTGTTGAGGGTTTGCAAATCACATGCTACTCAGTTCTAAAAAAGAGCAAGCGATATTTTTTTTACAATATCCCAAAACATCCTATTGATTTATAACATTTTGGTGAAGGGAAGGGGGAATTCCATGGCTTTAGTCTGGATTTATACCGTTGTAAACAACAGCTGTACTGGTCCACTGACTACAATCAATATTTGTGTCTATATATAGAGTGATCTATGTATATATTTATAGGTCATTAGGGGGAACAAGGAAATTCATTTTCCCATTGATGTAATTGTCTCAGGGGCACAGATTTGCATATACACCTTCCATTGACCTCCTGACAATACGCTGTTATAGCCAGAGGAAAATCAAATCCAGAACATGGGCATGTTCCTGGCTTCTGTTTGACTGTGAAACTGGAATGGGTGCAGAGCCGGCCCAAGCTACGGGCTGACTGGGCGATAGCCTGGGGTGCCCGATTGTAAGGGGTGCTGCGCAGTGCTGCGGGGCCAGGCGGGGGTGGGACCACACGTCCACCGCATGCCCAGGGTCTGGGGCATAACAATGAGCCAAGCACCCGGGGGTGTGCCGCACGCCCGGGGCACAAGAATGGCTCAGGCCTGCTCTGAATGGGTGCTAGGGGATGAATCACTTGATGATTACCTGCTCTGTTCATTCCCTCTGAAGCATCTGACATAGGCCACTGTTGGAAGACAGGATACTAGGCTAAGTGGATCTTTGGTGTGATCCAGTATGTCTGTTCTTATATGGTTAGATGGGGGAAACATAAAAGCAAGTGGCATCGCCATCAGGGAGCAAAAACAGAAAACCTTTTACACATATTTCTTGAGTATAAATTTTATCTTTAGGTTTAAATCTTATTCTCATTATTTGACTCAATAAAGGAATTGCCCAATATGAGCATGCTTAGAATAGCCTTTCCTGACATGAATCTAGCATGATAATGTGACAAGGCTGCTGCATACTTCTGGAAGGCTGCTGCATACTTTTTTTTTTTAAGGCTATTGCTTTTATTGGGGTAGACTTTGGTGGTCATATGAGCTGATACTTACAAAACATAAGTAAAATAAGGCACACCATGCTTTAAGAAAATCGGTGCGTGGGTTGCCAGGGATAAGTGCCTAAATAAAGAAGTAGTACTGGCTTTATGAAGCACACAGACTGAAATAATAAATACCACCCATTGTTTGTAAGAAGGAGTCAACTTTGTTTTCCTGTCTTTTGAAAGGTCAAAATCATCAGTATGCAAAACACAGAGTTATTCTGAGGCATGAACTATCTTATCTCTAAAAATCATGCACAAGTCATACAGCATGGGAGCTGCAATTACCCTTAACACCAAATAGGAAGGTGTCTTTTCATACTGTTGTTTGAAGCTTTTGCACTGCTGTGATAATGTAGCCTCAGTTGCAGGATTAGTATAGAGAAGGTTCCTCTTGATTTCCTCTCTGGCTGCTGCCCAATATTATGTGGCTACTTCAGAACTTAATGTCAGTCAGTGAATGCACAGGGCACCCCATGTAAGTCTTGGCAAAAGTGACTTTTAGTTCCCTTTGCATTGCCCCGATGCTAGGATTTCTAACTGACATCATCTGCCCCGGGATAGTGATGCTCCCATGGCTGGCAAATGAATTAAGGGCCACTTTACAGTGTTAGGCTATGTCTACACAGCCAGGTAGGGATGTATTAATGTTGCAAGAGCATTAGGACCTGCAGCCTAAAGCCCTGGGCTAAGGCAGACCCAGCAAAAATATCTGCACTGGCTGGCTACTTCCTTATCGGTAAGGTATTCCAGGGTGCACCAGTCTACTTTCACCTCTGAACTAGTGCCTCATACTGCAGCCTATGGATATTTTGGATAGATATTGACCCAATGGAAATGACCCTGTCTACACTGTCCTCTTGGGTGCTGACACTGAACATGATCCTGGAGTGAGGCAAGAATATGAAGTCACTGTTCACAGCCTCTCTAGGTAATGCAAGTAAAACAGTTTGGCAAAATATAAGGGGCTGACATATCTGCACGATTGGGGAATGGCACATGCTTTGACCTCCTCAGAAATTTTAGAATCTTATCCTGATCTCACATTGGTATAGATCAGGAGTAATTCTACTGAGTTTTTACAGCAAAATGACTTCAGAATCAATCCATATTTATCCATAAGAACATAACAAAATAAGAACATACGAATGGCCATACTGGAAAGGTCCATCTAGCCCAGTATCCTGTCTTCCAACAGTGGCCAATGCCAGATGCCCCAGAGGGAGTGAACAGACCAGGTAATCATCAAGTAATCCCTCCCCTGTCATCCATTTCCAGCCACTGACAAACAGAGGCTAGGGACACCATTCCTACTAATTCTGGCTAATAGGCACTGATGTACCTAATCTCCATGAATATATCTAGTTCTCTTTTGAACCCTGTTAAAGTCCTGGTCTTCACAACATCCTCTGGCAAGGAGTTCCACAAGTTGACCATGTGCTGCATGAAGAAAAACGTCCTTTTGTTTGTTTTAAACCTGCTGCCTATTAATTTCATTTGGGGACCTCTAGTTCTTATGTTATGGGAACAAGTAAATAACTTTTCCTTATTCACTTTCTCCATATCTGTCATGATTTTATAGATCTCTATCATATCCCCCCTTAGTCTCCTGTTTTCTAAGCTGAAAAGTTCCAGTCTTTTTAATCTCTCCTCATATGGCACCCATTCCAACCCCCCTAATCATTTGTGTTGCCCTTTTCTGAACCTTTTCCAATTCCAATATATCCTTTTTGAGATGAGGTGACCACATCTGTACACAGTATTCAAGATGTGGGCGTACCATCACACAACGAGTATTAATGTCACATGAGCTAGAACCAGAATACGCCATTTCTCCTCATAGGTCCAATCTGTGGGTTTCAATTCTTGTTGTACATGTTAGGAATACCTGGTTCAAAATAATTAAAGCCGAAACCAATGTGCTGATTGAATAAATAGGTGGGACTGTGTAAATAAATCTTGCAGCATTCATTGAATGTATAGTAACTCAGCTAAATCATATAATGCTAAAATGTCTTTCTGTATAGCTCACTGGTTTATCACCTCCTCCCCCCCTTATTACTTTTCTCTCACAGCTGCTAGTTAATAGAAAGCAGCAATATGATTGTTTCCTACTTTTTGACTTATTGTGTGTGTGTGTATTTGTAGACTCAGGATATTATGCTGGGGATCTATGGATTGTTTTATTCAGTTTATTTGAAAGCAGAGCAGGAAACACATTTAACTCTAGTCAGCATGGGAATAGGTCACATAACACATGCAGCCATGAACCTTTCATAACAAATAAATATAGGCAGGTGTGAAAGAAAATGAAGTCCATATGTTTAAAATGAATTGGGCAGGTAGAATTTTACTAACATGGCATAAACGTAATGTGTTTCTACTTTTGCCTGAACATATCATCAAATTATGAGCATGCAGAAACAGAAGCTTTTGTACAAACATAATGTTTTCATACAACACTTTTAAATTATCTTTCCATTTGATTTTCAATTATATAGAAGCATGCATGGATACAAGTGTACAGAAAATTCAATCGGATTTGTGTATACATTTCTGAGAGCAGAATTTTGATCATTATCATTACCATCTCCAGTTTATAAAATGCAAAAAGATCGCAAACACATTACAAATAGAGGAATCACTTCACTCCTTCGTGAAATGCAGTCACAGTTCCATACCTTTTGAAATTCCATGCCTTTTGAACAGCATACCAGGACAATACAGAACAGTTAAAGACCGGAAGTAAATACTGTGTCCACTTGAAATCCAAATTGTCTCTCAACGTTACTCTTCCATTACTTCTTTTTTTCCAATATGGAAAGAATAATGGCAGATGCTTATCTGGATATCTGATTATGTAGTGCACTTCTGAACTTTTTGTCATATCTGAATGGATACATTTTACTTCTATTTTGGGGTCAATAGCTCATTGTGGGGTTGGAAGACACAGCTCGGGCATGATTCGCTATAGGTGCATATTAAGACAATGTTAAGGGCAAAGTCTGCCGTCCTCATTCATGTTGAAAACAACCTTAACTCTCCACAAGTCCTTCTGCTGAAACCACCAAGACTGCTTACCAGAGAGGGGGTGAAAGAGATACGCTTTCAAGCTACATAGAGATTGTTTGAAACCTGTGGAATGAAAATGACATAAAAATGTTGATTTTTTCATGGTTTTCCCCTTCCTTCATTTTCTGACCAGCACTGATACCTGTTTAGTAAGGCACTATTCTAGAGGAATAAAAATGGCAAAAATCAAAAGTGGTATCAAAGGGGATAGCCCATAATGCCAATGTCAGAGAAAGGCTACAGAAGTGAGCCAGCATTGGTCCTCGTTGTGGATGTATTGGGCAACAGAAGAAGCCGCAATCCCCCTGGCACCTGCACCTTCCTGGTGCCTCCTTTCCTCACTGCCCCTGCCCTCCTTGCCCTCTTTCTCCCTGGTGCCCAAAAAACTGACATAAGGGATACCAGAGAGAGGCAAAAATGGCTCCTTTATAAAACATACGTGCTTCCCAGAACAAAGGGAACAGCCCCTTGCCTGGCTATGAGACCTGAGCAGGCAGGGAAAAGGCCACACATGTCAGATGCAGAGCCAATGAAAGGAACAATGGCGTTGGAGCGATGATGAAAAGTATCTTCTTGTCATGAACTGATCAGCACTCTCTGTCTGATGACATAAGGGTCTTTTGTGCCCAGCGATATTTTAATCAATAAGTAGTTTGAGGCATTTTTACATTTCATCTTTATTTTGCCGTCCTACGGCATCTTAACAACAAACAGCTTTATTTGGGCATAAGCTTATTTTTGATTGCTGAAAACGGAAAAAAATCAATTTTTCGACGAAAATTTTCAACAAAAACGGACACTTTTTGCTAAAATTTCTCTTTTTTCTATAAGGACATTTTGCACACAGAAAATATTATTATGGAATGTTGTGACCAGCTTTAGCCAACATCCTGTTTTCATCAGTGGTCTTCAGATAAGAGAAAGTCAGCACTGACACCTCCTCTGTGTGAAGCAGGGGATGGCCGAAATAAGTCTGCTTTGGCCAAATACAGGCTGAGCCTCTGAAATACAGGTCTCTTTGGTCCAGCAACATCTGAGGTCTGACACAACCACAGATCTTGCTGGACAAGAGAGCCCCAATGGCTGGAATCCGGGGCTAGCTAGGAGTCTGATGATATTGGGACTGGCCAGGGCTGGGAGTGCAACTGGGCGGGTGGCAGGAGGGCTGGCAGCAAGGGAACCAGTGGTCATGAGCTCCAGCCAGGACTGGAAATGCAGGGCCAATGGCCAATAAGAGAGCCCAGGAAAGGGGGCCAGTGGCCAGCAGAACAGCATTGATCTCTCTTGGTTCAGCAAACTCCCTGGTTTGGGACCAGGTCCTGAGGGTGCTAGACCAGGGAGGTCCAACCTGTACTGAGCAAGTGGCCAGAGAACAACCATCTTGGGCATCCTCAAAGAATTTTGGCTTCAGTTGCACCTCTGTATATTACAGTTATTTGTAAGGACAAAACCCACCCCTTCCTTGTATTCCATTCACAGGGCCTAAAGAAATGAACAACACTGCCAGAGACAGAAAATCTGCTGGGAAGGTGATTGTAACAGCAGAATCACAAAATCCCTCCAATGTCTTATCTTCTGGACAGGACTATGCAGAAAGGGGTTTGGCCCCTGTGGTTAGGAGAGGTGAGGAATCAGCTCGTCCCTTCTGCAGCTTGTCTTGATGGGAATCTTCTAAAATCCCCAGTAGAGCTGAAAGCCGATTTCTCCTGACATAACACCTCAGGAATGTGGCACTAGAGATTCCACCTACCCTCTCCTAAGACCAGATCACTCTTGTATTAACAAGACTTGGGTATGGTAGAATTAAACTACATCCACATAATAATCAACATAACCCTATGTTAAATTACACCTACACTTCATTGCCACTGTATTTAATTGAAAATGTCACTTATTTTTCAGTGACTTATTGTTACTGTGCCAAATGACCAATACACAGACAAATGGATGTATTATTACAATTCTCAAACACATTATTCCAGTGGTACCAAAACATGCACATTATTCTTGCAAACTCAGTCGGTGTAGACCAAATCTTGCCACCAAACCTCATGTGCAACTTTACTCTCAGTTTGGCAGGTCACAGTATGATGGCGGCCAAAAGTGTGGCTGAAGGACAGGAAGCCGTAGCACATGCACATGTAAAATGTAAAAGCACTTTTTCTAATTCCAAGGAAATTCCAGACCTGGCTATAGTGTAAGATTTGTTTTTGCTAGGTGGAGGGGAGTTGATTTCTAACATGGTTTCAGCATTGACTGTTGCATGTGTTCTTGTGTGTAAGGAAAGTGTGAGTGCAGCACCAATTCTCCTGGGCCATGGGTCTTCTCTGCTGAATGACTCTTACCTTAAGACATTTCATTGTCATGGAGAGTAGGAGAAAACGAACTTCCTACCAGAAAATCACTAGAGTAGAAAGATAGATACTGCCAGGTTGTTTTCACTGTTGCATGATATTATTGAGGAGCAAAGTGGTTAGTAAGATTCAAAGTTGAATCAGACAGTTAAGTGGCCATAGATCCACTAGCATGGGTAAAAATTACAAGGCTTATCAGTCTTCATGCTTCAGGGTGCACTGTGCTCACCAGCTGGGCTTAGGAACAAATTCCCTGTCCGTGGCCACAAGGCAATATTTCACAGTGGATTGTTGTTACCTTTCCTGGAAGTGTCAGACATAGGCCACTGCCTAAGGCAGGTTTTTGGGCTTGATGGACCTTTGGTCTGATCTTGTGTGGCAGTTTGTGTATGAATAAAAAATTCATGGATTTGTGGAGC